TGTTAGAAAATTCTAGGAGATTTTATAATTTTTTTGGACAATAGATTTACTTTGACCAATATGTTGTTTTTTGTTGTCTTATTGAGATTTTCAGCTCATTGTGATACAAATCTTGAAAGTTTGCAATCAAATTTCTAATAAGCAAATCTTAGACCAAGTGAAAATAAACAAACATAATTGACAAGCTCATTTACTTTACCTGCCTATGGAAGAGCTTTTGATAAAAACTATCTTAATATTTATTTAAAAATTAATTTTTTAAAGAGCTTTCTATTCTGGATGTGATTTTAAAGAAAGTCATATTAGATCAGTTTTTTCTAAAAACTCTTCTAATTTAAAGATGCACTTTCATAAAATTAGTCAAATAGGTCCAGAAACAGTTTTTGGATCTCAAAAGCTCATTTTGACACTTCAAAAGCCATGCCAAACTAACCTTAAATCAAGTATCCAAACTTATCACCCTCAATCAAATTTATTTATATGTTTTTAATTCAAAAATTGGATATGTGCACAAATTTTGTAAATAAATGATGGTCAAACTTGGTCCAGCTATCAACCAGACCACAGCTAAAGAAAGAAGTGGTGTTCAATAGATCTGGTTAATTTCCACAATGCATGCTCAAAACCATAACAAAATTGTCTGCATAACATCTATACATATAGTTTGCATCAAATATTTCTTAAATGCAGCACAAAGTTAACTAATTAATAAACTGAAAACAAATTATAGATTCAATAAGATTTTCCACAGTGTATCAAGCTTCCAGCTCCCAAGAAGAGACCAAATACAGCTGCACTTCCAAGTGTCGTTTGCCCAATATATCTTATTTTCAGAAGGCCTGGAACCTGCATTTTTACAAGGAAAACTTTCATTCAAAGTGGAACATTCTAGATTAAAACATCGAGCGAGTGGATGATCAGAAGATTGGGAATATGTTGATAACTGCTAAGGCTTTAGAAACATATGTATGCAGTATGCGAAGAAGTATAAGTATGCGTTTCACACAGGGTAGAGCGTGTTTTGTAAATTCCCGAACTGCATGAGATAAACTACCAGACTACCAAGTACCTGCCTTTAGAGATTTTATATTCCCCACCTTTTTCCTTTCACGAAAAGTAACATGAACAACTAGTTTTGATATCTTAAGCCTCGGTTTGGTAAAATATATAAATGGTGAGATTTCATTTTCAACCACACATTCTAATGGGAGCACAAATACAATCCACCACTTATTTCTATCTATTTACAAATTAAACCGTTTATAAATTCTTCTCAAACGGAGGCTAATAACAATTGCAATAGAAATTAACTATTTACTTAAAAAGATATTGGACATAAGGTTGCAGAGATAGTAGGAAGCAACGAAATATTCAGCAAAAGATTGCTAGGGACAAATAAAAGTAGATAGTGGCCAAACCAAGTTATGCTGCAACCACCATAAAAGAAATGATGATGCAAGTTATATGATACGAAGATCATTTTATCAACTTCTTTACCCTACACTTATTTCTCTTCCATTTCTATTTGCCTTCTTTTTTATTCTTAATCTCTTTTCTTCATTTCCTGGGCTAGACCAAGATGCATACAAGTTGCATAGAAAAACAATTATTGCACTACAATGCAACAAACCAATTAAATATTCCATTTTACCAACTTTTATAGGTTTATAAATCCATTAACCAAGTAGACAAAACATCAACCGATTGAAGCATCACCGAAGGAAAAATTCTCAGTTAGTGAACAAAAACCCAATAATAGTAACCTGAGCAACACATATGTAATAAGATGGACCAAAGTGGCTGGAGAATTACTAATCCAAAAATATTAAGCCCCTCTCACTTTCTCGAGCTACAATGCAAACATGCAAGAAAGGTTCTACTGGCACAACTGTCCCAATGATTTCTGCAAGTAACAAAGCATGTTTGGCCAGGTTTTACAAAATGAAGTTGCTTTTAATTAACCATCAAGTAAAAACAAGCTATTTTTTTTAAGTAACTCTTACTTTTAATTAACCATCAAGTAAAAACAAGCTATTTTTTTTT